TCCCCCGAAGAGCAACCAGGGGGTTTGAACTGCTGACCTTTGGTAGCAGGCCCACACTTAATCCACGGCACCAGAGTCCCTTGGAAGGACCAGATAGAGACCCAGTATTCCTGTCTCCTGGGGGTTGGGCGGGGAACAGAGACAGAGAGAGACTTTGGAGGTTGGGTCAGGTCCTCAGACACGGGGCCAGTGCAGGTCTGACCTCCTGTGCCTGGTGCCTCCCGTGTGAGTATCAAGATGCTGAAACAAAATCCCCTGCCTAGTCCATTCCTCTGGTTCCACAGGAAGCCCTTCCCTCTGAGATAAAAAGAGCTCCCGGGACGTCCCTCCCTGACTTTTCTATCCATCTTCCCCAGCCATGCCTGCCACCCAGCCCTGCCTCTCCTTGGCCCCTTCCTTTGCTGGGCACCGGCCCCACTAGGGGCTGTCACTGCCAAGCTGGGAGGTGGAGTGATCCAGTCCCAGGGCGGGGAGTCTGTGGTGTGGATGAGGTGCATGAATGAGGGCCATCCTGTTTCTGAATCTCAGGAAGGTGGGACCAGGTGGGTGTGTCACCATAGGAGGCAGGGACCCTTCGGGGCTGATCTGCCACCCACAGGAGACAAGGACTCTCAGGGGTGGGGTTTGTCACTGACAGGACACAAGGACCCTCATTAGCGGGGTCTGTCTGTGACAGATAACTAGGACCCTCAGGATGGAATTTATCACTGGCAGGAGTGTAGGACCCTCAGGAGATGGACCCTCAGGGGCAGGTCTGTCATTGACCAGACCCCCAGGAATGCAGTGTGTTGCTGATAAAGAGAGGAGGGCCCTGGAGGGCAGGTCTCTCACGACCAGAGGAGAGGGGTCTTGTCCAGGGAGCCTGTTCACTTCTCCACCTTGAAGGGACCTGTGGCTGCTTCCCTGGAGCAGGAACATCATGGAGCTTCGGACAGCTGACCTGGTGGGACAGGGGTCGCTGTCCTTGGAGGTCAGTGTCATTGCGGGTTCTTGCCTAGGAGGTCAAACCCCTGTCCACTTACTGGGCTGGTAAGTGAGAGGGCAGATAGATGGCCCCCCACTAACAGCCCTGGGTGAGGGTTGGGTGGGTGCAGCAGGAATGTGGAGGGGCTGGGGTGGATACATGCCAGCACCCCAATGCACCCCAGAGAGAAGAGGGCCCGTCAGGCCCCACCATGGACTGCAGTGCGCCAGGGCTCTGAGACATCCAAGCCAAGTTCCGTCGTCAAGGACTGACATGTTGAAGGGGGCGGCCCCTCTGTCACCATGAGATGTCAGCACTGCCCGCAGGACGCTGGCACACCAGCCTGGGAGCACGGTGTGTGGTGAGGGAGAGCGCCCTGCTCCCAGAAGGTCGAGGAGGAGCAGGCCCCACCCACTCTGAGCTGAGAGCTGGAGCTGCTTGGGGGAGGGACAGAGCCCCGAGTCCTCCCTGTGGTCAAGTGGTATGTCACATGTATTAACCCTTTCAAGATTAAGTT